GGGCTATCTCTTTCCTAGGCTGTGCAGTCCAGATGTACTTCTACCTTTTCTTTGGCAGCACAGAGTGTGGCCTGCTGACTGTTATGTCCTATGACCGGTACGTTGCCGTATGCAACCCAATGCGTTACTCGCTCATCATGAGCAGAAAGGTCACCCTAAGCTTGGCAGCTGTGGTGTGGATCATGGGCAAGTTGGTGGCATGTGAGCAAACAGCAGCCATATTCATGTTACCCTTCCATGGGCCGAATCAAATCAACCACTTTTTCTGTGACGTCCTCTCAGTGCTTAGGCTGGTCAGCACGGACAAATCACTCATCAATGCCATTCTTTCTTTCCTCACTGTGGTGTTCACAATAGTCCCCTTAATCTTAATCATCATCTCCTATGCAAGCATCATCTGGACCATTCTGAAGATGCACTCAGGTGAGGGGAGACGCAAAGCTTTCTCTACTTGCTCCTCACACCTAATCACAGTCATCTTATTCTACTGCAGCGGCTTTATCACCTACATGAGGCCCAGTTCCAATGTGTCTGTGGACACCAATCGAGCCCTCGCCCTGTTGTACACGGTCATTATTCCAGCATTCAACCCAATCATATACAGCCTGAGGAACAAAGAAGTCAAGGAGGCTCTGAGGAAATTCTTGATCAGGAGTAACATTTCTTTGTTATCATAAATACAGTTGTTTTTTTCTGATCATTGAGCCCCATTAAAGTATCTCAACTTGGGAGGTGTCTCAAAGTGGGAAAATGTCTGTATTATTGCTTAACAATATGATGTATAATTTCATTTCACTTTTTAATACTATATTGCTGTCTAACTGGGGGATAGCTCAGTGGTCTGAGCATTGGCCTGCTAAACCCAGGATTCTGAGTTCAATCTTTGAGTGGTCCTTAAGGGATCTGGGGCAAAAATCTGTCTGGGGATTTGTTCTCCTTTGAGCATGGGCATGGACTAGATGACCTTTTGCGGTCCCTTCCAACCCTGTGATTCTATGACTGTGTAATGTTAAAGCAAAGGAGGTTGTAAAGTGTGCTGTTAAGGAACCCATGAAGGATAAAACAATGACTCATATATTTCAGCCTCTGAGGTTCCCACTTCAGAGGGTTAAGACAACAATGGGCTGGGTCATCAACTGGGGGAAGAACTGACCTGGCTGGTACCATCCATAAGAGAATGTTTTACTCTTCCTAAGGCTAGGGCTGAGATCAAAAGACCCTGAATGGTTAAAAAAGAAGTGGTCAGCTCTGCTGGAACCTGACAAAAAGACACAGAGCCATCAGGGTGAAGAAAGACAAACGGACAGAGTGAGAGGCAGCAACTGCAGTGGTCAAGCTGTAACTTGGTGCCCAGAGAGAACAGGAGACACCAAGGGTGGGTCATGTCTACCAGGGGGCTGGAGGGGAATGCCAAATGTAAGGATGACAATGGGTCCTATAGGTCTTTTTTTAAAATAACAAAATCTGCTTCTCTAAGCACTGTGCATGTTTTGGACAAATACTTCTGGTTCTGTGTCACTGCAAATGATTCCTGACCACAGGGTCCCAAAGGGGAACTTTGGCAGAGTCCAAGCACATCTGGACCTGAGAGGTAGTGGGGTTGGCACCCATGAAGGGGGAAACTGGTGACCCCGTTGAAGTGCGTCTGGATTTCTGGATCCCACCCCAGAGAGAAGTAGAGGCATGAGCTGACCACATGGACGGGGTTCACTCCTGGGACTGGAGAAGGATCTCGGAAAGGGGCAGCTTACTCAGGAGGCATCCAGAAGGGCAGGTCACATTTAAAGTCTGGGCTGTATTTTATTACATCCATGTTTTAGAAAAGATGTGGACAAATTGGAGAGAGCCTGGAGGAGAGCAACAAAAATGATCAAAGGGTTAGAAAACCTGACAGGAAGAAAGGTTAAAGAAACTGGGCACGTTTAGTCTTAAAAAAAGAAGACTGAGGGGGGAACCTGACAACAGTCTTCAAGTATGTATAAAGAGGACGGTGATCAATTGTTCTCTATGTCCATTGAAGATAAAACAAGAAGTAATGGGCTTAATCTGTAGCAGGGGAGATGTAGTTTACAGATTAGGAAAATCTTTCTAACCAGAAGGGCAGTTAAATTCTGGAACAGGCTTCCAAGGGAGGTTGTGGAATCCCCATCATTGGAGGTTTTTAAGAACAGGTTGGACAACACCTAGCAAAGCTGCTCTAAGTTTACTTGTTCCTGTCTTAGCACAGGGGGCTGGACTTGATGACCTCTCGGGATCCCTCTCAACCCTACGTTTCTATGAATGTCTGACAACTACAACTGTCTAAATGACTTCTAATCTCCTACCAACAGCATTTTCTGTTAAAAAACAAACAAAAATAAAAACACCTGGGAAATTCACTCACAAATAATGTATGAACGCAGAGTTAGATTTATACAGGGCTGGTGACATAGCATGCCTATGTGCTTTAGCAATTTTGTGATTATCACCTTCATTGAGACCTTTGTTTTCCATTGTAACCTCCTTCTTGGTTTAGAACATCCAGATGCTAGTGAAAAAGCGGCCCATTCTGACAGCATCAGTCTTTTCTGAACACTGCTGCCCCTGCTAGAGTGCAGGATGCCTTGGAAATCACTCACAGAGAGATCCATCACTGGCCATCAACACATACTGATTCTTCTATCCTGGAACAATGGGTTTTCTGCTGGCAGGGCCGCAGACTTTGATTGACTCCCTACACAGAAGCAAACAGGGGTAGGATTTGGAGCTGGGAAATTTCCTGAGCAAAAGCACCTGGAAACAGGATGTGGCTGTGAGACTCAGCATCTCCTGAGGATGCTGACCAGAACCAGGTCTGCCAGGGGTGGTGAGATCAGACTGAGAGGGGTGCCTTGAGGATGTTGTTTTCCTAAGTTCTGTACCTCTGGTGTTGTGTTGTAAAGTGTTTGCGTCTCTTGCTTTCCTGCTGCATTGTCCCTGAAGGATTTGTCTGGGCTCCCACTGCCAGGTGAGGAGGAATGGGTATAAGTAACTGGTGGACAGAAGAAATGAGTCAGTTGTTTTGTGGTCTAAGACAGGTGGACTGCAGACTCCCACTGCCCAGGAAGGGTGTCATGCATGGGGTCCTCACCTGGCAATATGCATGAAAGTGACCCAGAGCTAGGGACAGTGACCAGTCACTATCTAGACCAAGAGGGGTTAGAATCACATGGGAACCATAGTTTGGGTCTGAGTACAACAGACTGATGTCTGACCAGGGGGAGGTCAAGGCCAGGTTGGAACAGCACCTATTAAAATAAATGAGGCATTTTACACTTCCAAGCTGTTGTTTCAGGCTCTCTGTATACTCAGGCACGCATTGCCACAGGGGTTTCACTCAGGTCATATTTGCTAGGTTTTCTTTGCCACCACACCATCTAAAGACTTAGGGCTAGATTCACAAGGAGGATTTAGGTGCCTTACTGCCTAACTTAGGTTCCTAAGGCCAACATTTAGACACCATTGACATTCATGAAACCCCTGCTACCTTGCCCTATAGTTGTCTAATGTCCTCAGGTGCCTACCTTTCCACCAGTAAAGTCCAAGAGGTGCCTACATTTTTGCCAGTGGGCCTGTGGGAAGCCATCAAATTACTGACACCAATGAGCAGCTCAGCCCTGACTCATGAGAACTCCCCAGTGGCATTTACAAAATTGGTGCTCCATCAGGTATCTCACTTGTGGGGGTCTGTAGTGGGGCAGATGGCCCCACTCCCTGAGGGTGTGGACTGCAGCAAGCCAGTGCACCTGCACAGACAGGGAGCCAATCGGGGAAGGGCTTATAGGGAGCCAATCAGGGCCCGGATTGGAGGCAGCCAATCAGGGCCAGGCTCAGCCCTACAAAAAAGGCTGCTCAGTGAAAGAGCAGTCAGTCTGTCCCAGACCTTCAGGGAGAAAGGTCTGTCTTCTGAGCAGTAGACCAGCACCCAGGACAGGACAGCGCAGTGCTGGGCCAGTTCAGGGAGGCAGAGTGGAGCTTCAGCCTGATATCTGCCAGACTGCGGGCCCGGAGTAGAAGGGCCTAGAGGGTGCGATGGGGTCAGAGGGGAAGTAACCCAGGGAAGGCTGAAGGCAAGAGAAGAGAAGGAGGGCCGAGAGGCTGCCGTTAGAGGGTCCCTGGGTCGGAATCCAGAGTAGCGGGCGGGTCTGGGTCCGCCCCCCTTGTGCTGCACCAGGCCATGGAGCAGTGGCTGAGTCAAGCTGCAACCTGCCCCCTGAAATAAGAAGGGCTAGACTTGGGGGTTGTGGCAGGCTGCTGAGGCTGGTGCAAAGACTCTTGTTACCACCCCCCTCCCCTCCCCGGAAGGTGGTGTAGATGGACTAAGGGGCACTGCCGGAGGGCAGTGGTCAGGAAGAGGGCCCCGCAAGCCGGAGAGCAACGCGGGCTCAGACACCACCTGAGGGCGAGACAATGGACGGGACACCACCAGGAGGGGGCGCTCCACTGGACAGAGCTAATTCTCAGAGACAACCAGTAGGAGGCGCCAGGGGATGAGTCCCAACACCGTTACACTGTCCAATCTGGTAGTTGTGCTCAAAGGACTCTCTCAATCTCTTCTGTTGAAGCTGTTCTACTCTGTGTACTGACATCTTCATTGGAGCAGGGAGTGGAACGCGAGTATCCCAGGAAAATGTCCTAGCAATTAGCTCTGTAGAGTGCTAGAGGGTATAGAGAGGGTGGGAATAACTCTATAGTCTAGTGGCTAATGCATTCTCCTGAGACCCAGGTTTCACTCCCTGCTCCAATGAAGATATGCACATGTTAATACTACAGCTACAGTGTTGCAGCTGTGTCGCTATTGCATAGACCCTTACTTTGTCGGTGGAAGGAGTTTATCCATTGATGTAGTTAATCCACCTCTCTGAGAAATGGTAGCTAGGCCAACAGAAGAATTCATCCTTTTACAAACTGCCTCCCTGCTCAAGACCTCATGGCCCTGCCACACCCTGCCCCTGAAAAAGGCAGTGGAGAGGCTCCTCCAAGCTGTCTAGAAGGGCTATGTGGGACACAGCCAATCAGGGCCCAGCAGGCTAGTAAAAGAAGAGCTGCAGGGCCAGAATGAGTCAGTTCCTTGCTGGAACTGGTGGAGTATGGATGGGGTGTGGCTGGAAGAGGGAGTGAGAAGGAGCTCTAGGCTGGTAGCTGGGACCCTATTCAGACAAGGTCTTGAGGTAAGTGTGAAGAAGGTGTGGGGCTGTAGGGAAGTGGCCCAGGGAATTAAAGCAGCAGTATGACTTAGATAAAGGGACACAGTGGATGGCTGCTATCAACAGGGTCCCTGGGCTGGGACCCAGAGTAGTGGGCGGGCCTGGGTTCCCCACCCCCATTAGCCACTGGGGGAGTAGTAGCCTGGAGTTTGAGACACCCCAGAAGGGGAACAGAACTCCTTAGTGGCCCAGCAAGAGACCTGGGGCCTGAGGTGCCCAGAGAAGGTGAGGACATTGCCTCCCGGGAAAAGCCCTGGGAGTATGGCTCAACACCAAGGCCAAGACCATTGATAGATTACGAGACTAATTAAGGACCTGAGCCCAAGGAGGGCTACAGGGAGAGAAAGTGCGAGCCTGCACACACTCGACCGAGGGCCCTTGCTAGGGGTGAGAACCCCAGCCCCATTACACCCCTGTTTTCAGTTGCTTAGAATTTTGCCAAATTCTTTTGT